AATTCAAAACAAAATATAAAAAAAATACAGACAAAAGTAATGAAGTGGAAATATGATATGGACTGATAACTGCCCGTTCTTTATTCTACAACTGTAAAAGAGTACTGTTCTGATTGAATGAAGTATTTCATTTTCAAAACAAAAGGGGGGGTAATAAAACCTACCAGGTCATTGAGGTAATTGGCATATTTGGAGAACGCATCTTTCATGAGATTTGGGTCAGTACTCTCCGAAACAGAAGAATTGGAGGTAATCGTTCGTTGCCTTTTTGCCGGTGTTGTCCCTGCAACTGTTCGATAAAATGCGTGAGTGAATAAATTATTCAAAGAACTTCCAGATTTTCGTATGAATCCATGTTTCGAGATGGGAATATGGGGGATAATAGAGTAGTACAGTGCTTACGAGGACGGAGGCGTTGGGGTTTCGAAGCCATGAGTGATAGCTTGACGAAGGACGAGGAACTGAACAATTTCATCCGAGTTCTCTCAGTCACGGGGACAAAAGACTCTACCAGGACATGTTTATTTATTTAAATATTAAATATAATATTAAATTCCACTAAGTAGCAGAAGTTGCTGTGGTGCAGTGGTTATCACGTTGGTCTTATGGATTGATCTACTTGTACAAAAGAGGATTTACAAAATCATGTGACAAAATTTATGATGTTGATTTAAAAAGTGTTTTTTAAATTATTGGTTGACAAGATGCCATATCACATTTTATAAACCATTTTTGTAATTCATCTTCGTACACGTAGCATGACTCTAGTCTTACACACTAAAGGTCCCAGACTCCCAGTTCAATCTTGAACTGCAATAGTTTTTACAATGCATTTCCTATTTTTACCATTTAGATAAGGTGATTACATTCACACCATTTAGACCCCAACCTTTTGCACTATGCACTTTTAGTCCACAACCTTTCGACTATGTGCGCTTCATGTGACATATTAAACCCGAGTTTGAACAAAAATAATGAAAACCGTAGCCTCAACATTTTGCACTTTCAGTTTTAGTCCACAACGTTTCGCTCAAGTGCGCTCCATGTGACATATTAAAGTCAAGTTTGAACCTAAAAAAAGTGAAAAACGTATTGAAACGAAAAGTGCAATTTTCTCATCTAACTATTCCATGGTATCCCACAAACGAAAACATGAGAATGAAACTAGTGGCCACCTATTGAAGAGGAAAGCGGCACAACACTCATACATTGTCAAACTCGACTATAACCACAGTAACTATAATTTGCTGAAAGCCTAAAACCAAAAAAAAAAAAATCCATCTAGTTCTAACCAAATCGAATTGAAACAAGAAAATAGTGATGGTTGTGGTAGCAACAACCTCGGATCCAACTTTGATCAACCTAGCAAAGGAACTCTTGGCCATGCCTGATGGCAGATGGACCCTTCTCTGGAGGCTGGCATAAGAAGTTTCAAGATTGTAGACTTGAGAATCTTGGAACACGACAATAGCATTATGGAAGACGATCTTGATTTAAGATGTGAAGCAGCCACCAACGACACTGTGGATGAAATCATATTTCTTTCTAAAACACTATGAGAAGATAACAATACTTTTTACTTATCTATTTTAGTTTCATGAATTTAGAAGTTTGACATACATGTATTATTTATTAATATGTACCCAGTGAAGTGTGGTTCATGTATTAGAATTAAATTGGAGGGGGAGGGGGTCCTATAAATACCTATGCAATCTTTAGTTGAAGATGAGTTCACAATTGAATAAAAAATTATTTCCTTCTCATTTGAGTTTTTCCTCCTCCTAAGTTCACTTCTACACCACAAATCGGTATAAGAGTCCCAATACTAGAAACAATGGCAAATAGCAACATGATCCCCTTCCAAGTTCCAAAACTAACCAAAAATAAGATTTATAATTGGTGCATCCATATGAAGGCTCTATTAGGTGTACATGATGCATGAGACATTGTGGAAAAATTTTATGAGGCTCCCACCGATCTAGCTATTCTCACTAAGCACAAAAGGATCTTTTACAAATCACAAAGAAAAAGGATCAAAAGTTGTTTCTCTTATTCACCAGGCACTGGATGAAGCTACTTTTGAGAAGATTTTTGATGTTACTACGACAAATTAATTATGGGATATGCTTCAAGTTGCCTACAAATGAATGGAGAAGGCAAAGGAAGTTCAGCTCCAAAATCTACGAAGTAAATTCGAAGCTATTCAAATGAAGGAATCAAAAAGGTGTCGAATTATTTTTCAAGAGTCATGATAATTGCAAAACCAAATGAAGAGGCTTGGTGAAGATGTGACTGATTTAATGGAGATAGAAAAATCCTTAGATCAATCGGTGAGAAATTTGATCACGTGGAGACTGCCATTGAAGAATCGAAGGACTTGGAAGACATGACATTGAAGAATTAAGCGGATCAATGGAAGCATACGCAGATAAACCTTTATAAAAGAACGAAGGAGCATATGGAGCAAGTTTTACAATCAAAGCTCACTTTGAAATACAAGGAAGAAAAGGGATACAAGCTACAAAGGACGAGGGTGTGGCCCAAGCTTTGAAAGAGGTAACCTGATCATATCTCAAAATAGAGATGAAAATTATCAATTCAACTCAACAAGAGGATGTGGCAAAGAAGGAGCAAGGCCATATCATAAGAGGCCTCAATTTGCCCGTTCTCCACAGCACTTACTACGATTACCTGCTGTTTGAGATTTCTCTCAGTATCACCTGGCAGGGTTCAAGGCTATTTTTCTGAAAGTGCCTTGGCAATTTGTCCTATTTGATTTTCCAAATCCTATATAGCAGCCGCTAGAATTTGCAAGTTTTTTCTCGGTCTTCTGCATGTATTGAGTTGATAACTCAAGACCTTTTAGCAAATGCTTCTTCCCATTAAGTGTTATTTATCATATTATCTCTCTCGAGAACAATAAAATTCACAATTCAATTTAATTAGTGGCCAATGAATTGAAAAACATTAAGTTCTATAGCAATCATCCAAGAATAAACAAATATCAGACGTCAAATATTGAATTTTTATTAAAACATCATCATAAGGATTCATCCATGTCTTATTAATTAAAATCCTAGCCTAGTATTACAAAATTTTAATAAAACATGTTTAATTGGAATAACATAACTCAAATTATTAATAAATTGAAAAAATAAAGATGAATCTTGAAATTTTGAATCTCTTCAATGGTTTCTTGATAAATCTCCAATTGCGTCTTCTCTTCTTTGCAGAAAAACCTTGATTTGAAATCCCAATTAATTGAATTCTTGCAATTGCTTCTTTATTCCTCCGAGAATTGTGATGGATTTGCCTCTCTTTAATAATGTTAATTATGGATTTGCCTCTCTTTAATAATGTTAATTCATGAATTTAAGATTATGAGATGTTGTTCTTAATGTCTTCTTCTCTTTTGTATTTATAAGGCTAAAAATATGATGAAAATCACATTGAAATTAGTGTATAGGAATAATTCCAAGTAAAAATCAGAAATAGAAATTGAAGGACCCAGAATATAGCCACGTGCTGGCTAACTCACCGCAAGCGTGTCGGCCAACTGATTTGGTCTCGATTAATTAAGCTACACACACCTAAGTCTAGCGTGCACGCCTCCATTATTGCGTGTATTCCAATTGTTTGAAAATATTCTCAGGACAAAGAAGGTAAATAAAGTTGTATTGATGAAGGTTAATGAGCTTGAGTTAGAAAGAAAGAGACTCATAGCTGACCTTCAAGATATTACCAAAATTTTTAGTGAGTTAAGACTTGCCAATGAGAACTTAGAGGCCAAAGTTAAAACCCTAACAAGTGACCTAGAGAAATCAAATACGCAACTCAATTCCTTCTTGAGTGGTACTCAAAAACTTGATAATCTCTTAGGGATGAACAATCCAACTGAAAATAAGCAAGGTCTAGAATATATTCAGACTGATAATAATACTACTAATTCATCCAAAATTATTTTTGTCCTAGCCATTACAGACTTAGGAATTGTGCTAATCTTGAATCCAAGAGCAAGGGTCTTAGAACAAAAGCCTACTAGACAACGTAGGACCAACCAACCCAGAAACTAATATCTGAAATCACATAGTTTTGAACCTAGGTTTATTCATACGTATCACAATTGTGGTGTGCTAGGACACAGAAGGCCTAGGTGTCATAAACTCGTGAATAGAAGTAGGAGTCAGGATATCTCTAACAAGGTTAACTTCCTTACCAATCAGGTTAGCCACTTAACTAAGATGATGACTTAGTTGACTAGGATTACCTCAACTTCTAAGAAGATTTAGGTTAAGAAAAGTGATATTCTTAGGTATAAAGAAAAATTGAACTACTATGTTGTTCATGTTTCTCTTAAAGCTAAAAATGACTATATGTGGCATCTTAATAATGTATGTTCTAGACATGTGTGGAAATAAAACTTTGTTTTCAACTCTTGATGATTGGAATGGCGGTATGATTACTTTTGGAGACGGTGCTACTACATCTATCCTTGGTAAAGGTATCGTCAATATATCTGGATTACCTGATATCTCAGATGTGCTTTATGTGAAATGTTTAAAATCTAATTTATTAAGTATTAGTCGAATATGTGATGCTAATTTTGAAGTTAGTTTTGTCCAGAAAAGATGTACTGTTTATGATTCAAACAGTAACGTTGTCCTTGAAAGAGTAAGAACTTTTGACAATTGTTATCCAGTTCTTCCAAATTCCAAATGTGTGTGTAATAGTGCTAAGATTAATATGACTGAACTTTGGCACCAAAGACTTGGTGTCATATAAACTATAAAAATTTATCTAAATTGGCTAAGAAGGAACTTGTGAATGGTTTACTTAAACTTCAAAAAACTGAAAACATTATCTATGGACCATGTCAACAAGATAAAGAACAGTAAATCATACTCAAACCTCTAGCATCTTGACAAACAGACCTTTAGAATAACTCCATATAAACTTAATGGGATCATCTAGGACTGAAAGCCTTAGTGGTAAGGGCTATATTCTGGTTGTGGTTGATAACTTCACTATCTTTACATGGATTGAGTTGTTGAGAGAAAAATTTGAAGTATTCAATCTAGTTAAGTCTATTTGTGAGAGACTTCGAACTGAGAAAGATTCCAACATAACTAGAATCCGGAGGATCATGAAAAAGAGTACCATAAAAATTTCTGCTTAAAGGAGGGAATCCAGCAAGAGTCTTCACCGATCACTCTACAACAAAATGGAGTAGTTGAGAGAAAAAATCGTGTACTTCAAAAAATGACTATTAACACTGTTATCACATAGTGAACATGGTTTATCTTAGACCTAAAACTAAATAGATGCCCTATGAGAGTTGGAAGGGTAAAAAGCCTAATGTCAAATATTTTCGAGTGTTTGGTAGCAAGTGCAATATTCTAAGAGATAGAGAGAACTTATGGAAGTTTGACTCTAAGAATGATGAAGGAATTTTTCTACGATATTTGAGGAACAGTAGAGCCTATCAAGTGTACAATTAGCCTACACGAGTTGTGAAGTAGTCCATAAATGTTGTGATTGATGATGCCTTTAGTGAGGGGGTGATTGTGGGGATTAGGATGTGGTAGATCACACTAGTGTAGATTTTATCAAGGTGACTAAGCCTAAAGGAAAATCAATTCTTGAAACTCTACACTCACCTAAAGGTTTAGAGACTCCAAAGAAAGAATCATCACCGCACTAGTTCTAATTTTCCGAGTAAAACTTCAATACTACTTGTGGAACGTTTACCTAGTGATAAATCCAAACCTCAAAAGGAACCTTCATCTAGAGTTAAATCTAATCATCCTGAAGTCAACATAATTGGGGATTTAGAAGAAGTGATGAGACTCCGTAAGATGGTTTTAAATAATTTGACATTTGCTAGCTATGTATCCGAGATTGAGCCTAAAAAGATTGAAGAAGCCGCTAGTGATGAATGTTGGGTAAGTGCAATGCATGAGAGCTAAACCAGTTTGTGAAAAATAATGTGTGGTGTCTGGTACCTAGACCTGATAATTGTAATGTTATTGGTACTAAGTGGATATTTAAGAATAAAACCCATGGTCAAGGTACCATAACTAGGAATAAGGCTAAGTTAGTTGCCTAGGGATATATTCATGTTGAAGGGGTTGACTTTGATGAGACATTTGCTCCTATAGCTCATCTTGAATCCATTAGAATTTTTCTTGATGTTGCTTGTACCTTACAGTTCAAGTTATATCAAATGGATTTCAAGTGCCTCCTTGAATGGAATACTTCAAGAAAAGGCTTATTTTGAACAACCTAAAGGGTTTATCAATCTTAAGTTTTAATATTATGTCTATAAATTGAATAAAACTTTATATGGTCTTAAACAAGCTCTTAGAGTTTGGTATGATAGACTAACTGCATATCTTGTGGAACATGATTTTTCAAGAGGTGGTGTAGATAGAACTTTGTTATATGACATATTGAGGAAACAAACACCATAGCACAGATTTATGTTGATGATATCATTTTTTGTTCTCCCATTGACTCTCTTGCTCATGAATTCACTAA